ATCGTCACATTATAATGCCCCCACGGCTGAAAGGGCGAGCATGTTTGGTGTGAGCCTCAGATGGCATAAAATTAGCTACCAAAGATGCATTGGTTAATATGGGATTTTGAAAAAGGTGGAACTCCCTTTTGTAATCCATTTGGACATTCCAATCAGAAGACCAGGAGCGTTAATGACTTGAATTCTGAAGAGATGAAACAAAGTGACGCCACAATTTAACCTCTGAAAAGAAGGAACCTGAGACAAGAAAAACACTTAATATAATCTGATTAGACATTATATAGTCACCCGGTGGGTCAGCGATAGATTTTCTGGACTTACAATGCTAAAAATTTCCCGCGATGGGCAGAGCACTCATCGCTCATTTTGTAGCTTTGCACTGAACAATAAAACCAAAAAACAATAACCTCAACACACTATATAATCTATGTCATAAATCAAGACAAAAACAATTACTCCAACACACTGTACAATTTATGTCTGAAATCAAAGCAGAAACAATAACACCAACACACTGTATAATTTACGTTTGAAGTCAAGACAAAAACAATAACACCAACATATTGTATAATTTATGTCTGAAATTAAGACAAGAACAATAACACCAACACCTGAAATCAAGGCATATATATATATATATATATTGTAACAAATAAAATATACAAAATTTTGCTTTTTTAAATAGACACGAAACACTGCCGAGTAACCTAACGCGTTTTTATTAGTGTGTTAAATATTAAAATGTGCAGTAATCTTAAGTTAATGGACCAGGCATGGCTTTATAGTTAGCGTGTAGTAGCTGTGGATTTGGAAGTCCTAGCTTCAAGTTACAATAACCTGTTGAGAACGTTCCTCACTTTCAGCTATAAGAGCGTTATAACTGTGAATCAATCCCAGTTAAGAATATAGATGCATAATAAGTGGTGGGTACTGCTGACTGGTTACCCTCCCTCTGGTCCGTTGTTGTAAAATAGGGAAGGCGGGTAGTGGACTAGTATATATTGTAAGGTACCACTCAGTACACATATATATATATATATCTGTGTGTGTGTGTGTGTGCGTGTGTGTGTGCATGTAGAAAATGAGCAAGAACACAGAAAATTGAATCAGAGTGCTTCCAGTGGTTATGCTTTTCGTTACAACCGCTTAAAAATAATAAAAAAAATAACTTTCAAGTATACCGAAACACAAATAACTCCAAGGATGTTTTGAATATATTGTAAACATCTATTTTTGAACGAGAACAGTGAAACAAGTGCAGATTAACTCACTATTTGATCACACATGAGTAGCTCAAATGTTGGCTGTGGGTGGTGTTGACTAGCTGCCTTCTTTATAGTCAATCAGTTCAAAATTATGGATGGTTACGCACAGATAGCACCTTTGTGTAACATTGTGTAAAATTCTGAAACAAACAAACATTTAAAACATATACCACTGAAAGTTTCTAGTGTGGTAGTTTGATTTGTTTAAAAAAAGGGGGGAGCCTTACCAGCAACTGCTCGCCAGTTAACGTTTTGCTTCCGTTGGTAGAGCACTCGACTGGCATACAGAAATCTTTGGCTCGAATCATGTTAGCAGAAATATCAAAAACTGCTGAAGTTTGGGAAGCATATTTATGTACCCCCGCCCCTCTCTCTCACTATATACATTGACCAAACAACCATTTATAAATGAACGCCATTAGTTCATGGCCTAAAAGGTTACTTTTTTTTCAAGCAGCCTGTTCGGTGTCATTTAATTGTCCAAGTGTCAAACACTTAGGAAAGTGTAAATCCAACCCTTAATTTTAGAAACTATATCCTTAAAGAGTTTTTGTCTAAGGTGCCTTATTATAAACATTTTAGTACTGATACGCAGGTAATTCTGTAGTATATTACGTTAAATTACTATTAACTGAACTTCTGTTTCCTACAGGATAAACTATCATATAGCTCGACCTATTATATAAACTGTACAATGTGATTTAACTGGAATATCCGTAGCATATATTTATGAAATCAAAAACATGTATTTAGAGAAGCCGATAATTTATTCTTTTTTGGCATACACAAGGATCCAAATAGCAAGTTTATATATATATATATAAATAAAGAAATAATCAAATGATGTAACAATGTTATTTAAAATATAAATAATAAATATACTATAAAAAATATGAATTTATAATATTTTACCTAAATGTGTATGGTCCCATCTCCTTGAAGTTTGGCTTTTCTGTCAGACTCCACACTCCTTCAGGATTGACGAGGTTAAAGAAATAGAAACGAATGTAAATGGGAATTGGTGGTTCTTTCCAGTAACCGTAGCTTTCTGAACCTTCTTTTATCTTCATCCGCTACAAGATCAATAAAAACACTAATATTGAAAAAGAGGTTCTAACATTTTGTTTTCCAAAAAATATGCATATTTTTAACAGGCCCCTCACGAGCCAGTGGGGAACATTTTTTTCTTGAAACAAACAAATAAACAAACAACAAATTACCCAATACGGTTTTTCTTAATTTGAACTAAATTTTTTGACATGTTTATTGGCTGAAAAGAATGCATTTCCCGCACTCTTTTAGCGTTGGGGCTACGAAAACTGATTTGAAATGGTAAGATGACTGAAATCCGTCAGCGCATCACGAACTTTATGGCGAAGCACAAGAAGCGTGGAAGTTTCTAAGTGATACGCTGAGGTATTCAGGAACGGTTTAGAACCACCTTGGTAGATATTGTGCTCAAGCCGAGTACAATATTATGCCTGTAACCGCTTCCAAGGTGCTCCTGTCTGCTCATCCTACTGCTGACTATCGTGATGCTTCAACTTTTCCTAACGAATCGCAGGTGAAATCGTTCGTATCTCAATTGAAACTAAACATAAAAAGGTGACAGCAGAAGCATAAAGTGTTGGCAATTGCTTAATTAATGATGCTGAGAATGTGGCTTTATTGATATATACTGAATTTACTCCCAACTAGTATGGAGACTTGAGATGCTGTATTTCACTTAAATATTTATCAATTAACAAACGAAAATTTGTCCCGAAAAGATACGTCCAAATCCACTCTATATGGAAGTTTTCGGATTGAACTTACTCTTAATACTCAACAAATTGTAGTGTAAAAAGACCCCTTGGCTTCTGAGGGACGTGTTAAAAAAAGAATATAAATGAAGAAATAACAACTTGTTCTCAAACTGTTAAACAAAAATATGTTGCAATGATTTAAATAACAATATTATGAAGAAGCGCCACCTTTTAAAAATGTCTAAGCAGTAGGTATATCAGATTACCAATAACGTAATAAGATACAACGAAGCAATACTAAAATAATATAATAAGAAACATATTAAATAGATACCATTCCATTTACAAATATAAGATATCACAGACCCATTCTACATAACTATAGACTGTAGTTCTCTACTGGTCTTGATAGGAATTTTATTTCTGCTAAAGTAAGCGTATCATGCGTATATTACAATCATCATGTTGAAAGGCTAATGTAAGGTCAAGTAAAAAAGAAAACGTGTTTAGCGTCCGGAGTTTTTTTGGACATCTGTCAAAATGTTTGCACCCTTTTTTTAATGACATCTGTGAAAGAAAGTTTGCACCCTTTTTTAATGACATCTGTGAAAGAAAGTGTGCACCCTTTTTTCATGACATCTCTGAAAGAAAGTTTGCATCCTTTTTTCATGATTGTTGCTTGTTTTCAAAGGGTTCATGTCAAGCAGAAGTTTTCTTTGTTTCATTTTTTCATCAAAACGATATAGAATTTACGACAAATATAGAAAAAGGGAAAAATTAATCAATTATGTTCATCTCATTTTTTATTCAGAAGCCTTCTTTGTATGATAAC